CGGTGCGCGAAGCGGGCGGCTGTTGCAAGCGGTACTCGCGCTTGACGCTGCTACCCGCAACATCATATAGTTGGCTAGCGGTCGGTGTCTGTTTATCCTTCTGTGTATTTCCATCAGTTGGCTGTGGCTGCACTTGTAACTGGACTTCCTGATTTTCGTCCTCTTTGCTCTCGAGCTCCTTGCGTGTAGTGCTTCGAGTTTTTACCATTTTTGCAGGCGGCGTGCTGAACATTAGATCCGGTTCGAAGACCACTTTGTAAAGGGTGCACAGGCGCGATAAAATGGTAGGAAACTCGAAAACCAAAAATTCGTTATAACCGTTTATTTTAAAATGACACAACGTAGGTACACTAACAAAAGCATATGAGAGAGAGCGAAGGTACGTGTGTCGCGAGCGATAGTAGAGGCTGACTGACTGCGTCACCGTTCGATTTCTAGTTTTAATAAAACACTGTGACTTCACACGTATCCTCGATTTCTACCTTAAAATTTAATATAATATTTAAAACATATGAGATGATTGGGCCGTCATACCCGCCACCATAAGCTAATACAAATTTGTATAACGATTTTTGAGCACGTCGCTAACACATGGTATTTATATATCCAAAAAAGAATGCAATATTTTTACACAAAAAAAGTACCGAAAAGATAAAAAGGACATTAAGTAGGTCCGCAATGTTAATCCGCAAATTAATCAATAGGTGCACATAATTGCTTACTAAATGCTCAATTCAAATCTGCAATTGCTCACATTATTATTTATTATTTAAATAGTTATTAATAATTTAAAATACAGAATTTTTTTGTCTATTATACTTAAAACCAATAAACTTTTTTTAAATGAATAACTGCCCATAATTGCTCACAAAATGCTTAATTTAAATCCGCAAATGCTTACACTATTAATAAATTATTTAATTATTCATTAATAATTTAAAATACAAAATTGTTTTTACCTACACCGATCAGATTAATGAATATGCGCTCATAATTGCTCACTAAATGCTCAATTCAAATCTGCAATTGCTCACACTATTAATTAATTATTTAAATAGTTATTAATAATTTAAAATACAGAATTTTTTTTGTCTATTATACTTAAAATCAATAAACTTTTTTTTTAAATGAATAACTGCCCATAATTGCTCACAAAATGCTTAATTTAAATCCGCACATGCACACACTATTAATAAATTATTTAATTATTAATTAATAATTTAAAATACAAAATTGTTTTTTCCTACACCGATCAGATTAATGAATATGCGCTCATAATTGCGCACTAAATGCTCAATTCAAATCTGCAATTGTTCACACTATTAAATAATTATTTAATTACTTATTAAAAATTTAAAATACAAAATTGTTTTTTCCTAAACCACTCAGATTAATGAATAAGTGCTCATAATTGCTCACTAAATGCTCAATTCAAATCTGCAATTGCTCACGGTTACGTTCACTTTATTATTTAATTAGTAATTAATAATTAAAAATACAGAATAGTTTTTGTCTATTATACTTTAAACCAATAAACTTTTTTTTAAATGAATAACTGCCCATAATTGCTCACAAAATGCTTAATTAAAATCCGTAATTGCTCACACTATTAATTAATTATTTAATTATTTATTAATAATTTAAAATACAAAATTGTATTTTCCTACACCGATCAGATTAATGAATATGCGCTCATAATTGCTCACTAAATGCTCAATTCAAATCTGCAATTGCTCACACTATTAATTAATTATTTAAATAGTTATTAATAATTTAAAATACAGAATTTTTTTGTCTATTATTCTTAAAACCAATAAACTTTTTTTTAAATGAATAACTGCCCATAATTGCTCACAAAATGCTTAATTTAAATCCGCAAATGCTCACACTATAAATAATTATTTAATTACTTATTAATAATTTAAAATACAAAATTGTTTTGCCTAAACCACTCAGATTAATAAATAAGTGCTCATAAATGCTCACTAAATGCTGAATTCAAATCTGCAATTGCTCACGTTATTACTTTATTATTTAATTAGTAATTAATAATTAAATGTACAAAATAGTTTTCGTTTATTATACTTAAAATTATAAACCAATTTAAAAATGAGTAAGTGCTCATAATTGCTCACAAAATGCTTAATTTAAATCCGCAAACGCTCACACTATTAATAATTTATTTAATTATTTATTAATAATTTAAAATAAAAAATGTTTTTTTCCTAAACCACTCAGATTAAAGAATAAGTGCTCATAATTGCTCAGTAAAAACTCAATTCAAATCTGCAATTGCTCACATTATTAATTAATTATTTAATTAGTTATTAATAATTTAAAATATAGAATAGTTTTTATCAATTATACTTTAAACCAATAAACTTTTTTTTAAATGAATAACTGCCCATAATTGCTCACAAAATGCTTAATTTAAATCCGCAAATGCTCACACTATTAATAAATTATTTAATTATTTATTAATTAAATAAATTAATGTTCACACTATAAATAACTAATTGATAGTGTGAACGATTGCTGATTTCAATTAAGCATTTTGTGAGCAATTATGAACAGTTATTCATTTAAAAAAAGTTTATTGGTTTTAAGTATAATCGACAAAACCAATTCTGTATTTTAAATTATTAATAACTATTTAAATAAATAATTAATAGTGTGAGCGATTGCAGATTTGAATTGAGCATTTAGTGAGCAATTTTGAGCGCATATTCATTAATCTGATCGGTGTAGGAAAAAACGATTTTGTATTTTAAATTATTAATAAATAATTAACTAATTAATTAATAGTGTGAACAATTGCGGATTTCAATTAAGCATATTGTGAGCAATTATGAGCACTTATTTATTTTAAAATTAGTCTATTGGTTTTAAGTATAATAGACAAAAACTATTCTGTATTTTAAATTATTAATAACTATTTAAATAATTAATTTATAGTGTGAGCAATTGCAGATTTAAATTGAGCATTTAGTGAGAAATTTTGAGCGCATATTCATTAATCTGATCGGTGTAGGAATAAACGATTTGGTATTTTAAATTATTAATAAATAATTAAATAATAAATTAGTAGTGTGAGCAATTACGGATTTAAATTAAGCATTTTGTGAGCAATTATTTGCAGTTATTCATTTAAAGAAAAGTTTATTGATTTTAAGTATAATAGACGAAAACCATTTTGCACTTTTAATTATTAATTATTAATTAAATAATAAAGTGAACGTAACCGTGAGCAATTGCAGATTTGAATTGAGCATTTAGTGAGCAATTATGAGCACTTATTCATTAATCTGAGTGGTTTAGGAAAAAACAATTTTGTATTTTAAATTTTTAATAAGTAATTAAATAATTATTTAATAGTGTGAACAATTGCGGATTTCAATTAGGCATTTTGTGAGCAATTATGAGCACTTATTCATTTTAAAATTAGTTTATTGGTTTTAAGTATAATAGACAAAAAAAATTCTGTATTTTAAATTATTAATAACTATTTAAATAATTAATTAATAGTGTGAGCAATTGCAGATTTGAATGGAGCATTTAGTGAGCAATTATGAGCGCATATTCATTAATCTGATCGGTGTAGGAAAAAGCAATTTTGTATTTTAAATTATTAATAAATAATTAAATAATTTATTAATAGTGTGAGCATTTGCGGATTTAAATTAAGCATTTTGTGAGCAATGAATTGCAGTTATTCATTTAAAAAAAAGTTTATTGCTTTTAAGTATAATAGACGAAAACTATTTTGTACTTTTAGTTATTAATAACTAATTAAAAAATAAAGTAATAACGTGAGCAATTGCAGACTTGAATTGAGCATTTAGTGAGCAATTATGTTCACTTATTCATTAATCTCAGTGGTTTTGGAAAAAACAATTTTGTATTTTAAATTATTAATAAGTAATTAAATAATTAATTAATAGTGTGAACAATTGCGGATTTCAATTAAGCATATTGTAAGCAATTATGAGCATTTATTCATTTTAAAATTGGTTTATTGGTTTTAAGTATAATAGATATAAACTATTCTGTATTTTATATTATTAATAACTAATTAAATAATAAATTAATAATGTCAGCAATTGCGGATTTGAATTGAGCTTTTACTGAGCAATTATGAGCACTCATTCATTAATCTGAGTGGTTTAGGAAAAAACAAGTTTGTATTTTAAAATATTAATAACTAATTAAATAATTAATTAATAGTGTGCACAATTGCGGATTTGAATTGAGCATTTCGTGAGCAATTATGGGCAGTTATTCATTTAAAAAAAAGTTTATTGGTTTTAAGTATAATAGACAAAAGAAATTCTGTACTTTAAATTATTAATAACTATTTAAATAATTAATTAATAGTGTAAGCAATTGCATATTTAAATTGAGCATTTAGTGAGAAATTTTGAGCGCATATTCATTAATCTGATCGGTGTAGGAAAAAACAATTTTGTATTTTAAATTATTAATAAATAATTAAATAATTAATTAATAGTGTGAGCAATTACGGATTTAAAATAAGCATTTTGTGAGCAATTATGGGCAGTTATTCATTTAAAAAAAAGTTTATTGGTTTAAAGTATCATAGACAAAAACTATACTGTATTTTAAATTATTAATAACTAATTAAATAATAAATTAATAATGTGAGCAATTGCGGATTTGAATTGAGCTTTTACTGAGCAATTATGTGCACCTATTCATTAATTTGACCAGTCATACTTCCAAGCCAACTTCTTTGTGCTCGGTGGAGACGCGTTTTGGAAACATTTGTCGGCAACATCGGAAACAAATGTTGGTAACTTTTGTTGAGTTGTAAACAGTTGGAAACATAAATGTTGTCAACATTTTTGGTAGATACACGGCTTTAGCAACGAATAAGCTTTCTAAATGTTTTCCGATAATTCTTCTAACCCTGTTGACCACGGCCTGAAAATAGATCCCACTCCCACTTCTTACTGACTTCTTACTATAACCTCTGCACGAACTTGTACTCGATATTCATTGTTAAGGATGACCCTAGTTTTCACACCAGCCAGAATTCTTCCCAGCTCTCAGTTACTTATTCAAGAGGACATTTAAGCTGTGCCATTTGTGGTTTAGGTAAATGTCACGAAAATATGAAATCATTTGTGTTAAAAAACTATTCTTGTGAAAATAAAAAACCTTTATATTTTAAAAATCCAGACTTTCAGGGAAATGCCTAGGCATACCCGCCTCGCGGAGTCAATGACGATTATGTCGGACTCGCACCGATTAAAACTCCATGGTGTTCCACCTTCGTCGCATATTGGCAAGGCTACGGGAACGCTTTCGCACACATCCGTGTCCTCACCTGCGCTGGTCGCCCCATGGCGGCCTCTCCTCGGGAGAGGACTACTCCTCCCCCATCTTCTTTTCAGGTAAGGACGGACGCCCCGTGTGCGATGCGCGAAGGCCATGGGGCCAGGAAAAACTAGCTCTCAGCAGCACCAGCCTTCTTGACCCCAGCGGCGGATCTGGTCTATGGCTCCGCCGCCAACCAAGATGCGGCTGCGGAGGGTAGGGACAGCGGCGCCTCGTAATACCGACACTCCTCTCCCCCCGCAGCCAAACCACCACCGCATTAATTGACGGTGCGGCCCCGTCAGAGTCGCGGAGGATAGGGCGAGTGGCGCATCGCCATACCAACATCCATACCAACTGCAACGGTAGGGGGAGAGGACACCCCTCTCGCAGCAGCCCACCGACGCACATCCGAAGTGAGGTCGCCAAGCCCACTCGGAGTGGCCACCTCGGGCCGGCCCTATACCCCGGGCCAGCCAAGGGGTTCCTCTTTGTTCACCGCGGGTGACCAAGCCACGGCTACTAAGCCCGCCGCCACGACTAGGCGGGAACCCATTGGGGGGGGGGGGGCAATCAAACTACCTTGTCCATCCTCCCAATCAATAGAGGAGGCCTAAGAATTAAACTTCTGGCAGGTTGTAATGAATAAATGAATAAAAGCCTAATAATAATATCCCAAATGTATTCCGACAAATAATACAGTAACAAGTCGTGTCCGTTGTTCATTAAACATTAACTGGTATTTTAATGAAAATACATAAAGCGACGGTCAATTGCACGCACAATTATTGACTTTCCAAATGCCATTCAAAAGAAATAATAATTCTTCGTATTTTTTATTATATAAATTGCAACGCGAGAGTACACGGTCGAAATAAGATCAAGTCAATATTGTTTCGATTATACAAAATTAAAGCAAAAAAAGTGAGTTAATATATATAGTTTAGTTAATTTACTAATAGATAATTAATTTTTGTATGACGTTTTACGATATTTTTGGTAAAAGGTTTCCGGGAGGGTTTTTGGGGTAAGAAAATGTCTGCACTGCCTCAAAGCCTTGTGTCGGCGGACTTTAAATATCTTCAATATATTTTTTATACCTTAGACATACAGGTTTCCGCACAATATTTTCCTTAGAACGTGGGATATCAATACTTAAGATTGCAATTAACGATTTCATTGGTTCCGGTGGGGATCGAACCCGGACTGCTCGCGTTTTTTTAAAAATATAGAATAAGGGTGACTAGCGAGCACAAAATGCATATACGTTGTCATTCCTGAGGACTAAGGTGGAATACCTCGTATTCAGTAAAGCTGCAATTTCTTTCAAATGTTTGAAACCTACCTGAAGACAGCCCGGTCCGGTTAGGTGTTAAATTAGTAGTTATAAGTTTTTCTCAGACTAAAAAATCCATCACTCCATATAGTCCGGTGAATGTAGTGAAAGACGGCTGTGGGAAATGTAAAATACCTAGATCACTGATCTGATGAGGAGCAGACAAAAGTGCGTAGAGTTGCACTTACGGAAAATGCTTCCTACAATTAGAAATACTCATGTCCAGCTATGGACTGTCATGGGCAGATTAAAAAGGAAAAGATATACAGCTAACTTTCCGCGGCTTAGAGTTCTTCGTGGCGATTAGAATCCATTATTAAAACACTATAATTTATTTTCTGTGACTGACTTTAGTAACTATCAGCTTCAGTCTAACAAAGAAGATAGTCCGTGCGCTGCGTACGTTTCAAGCACGAAACCAAGCCAAAACCATACTCAACTTATTGTTACATAACGCACTCATGCACACAACATATTAAGTATGCATCTTTAATCAGTTGCAACCAACAAAATGCTTCTTTAACCTTTGTGCATATATGTGAGTCCAGCAGTGAACTTTTACGTAGTGACGTTGTTTAGGCCAAAAATGGTCATGTTAGGACGGCACCCAATCACGTTCGACTTTGCCAATCGCCCGATCGTGCCGTGGATTTGGGCGCGTGGTCTTCGCTACGTAATTGGGTTTCGTGAAATCCGCCTCGGATTTGGTGTTCTAGGATTTAGCTATATGAAGTGCGTGTTTCTTCGTCACGTAGATATGTGAATTGTACGATAGTTAACTCGTGCGAGAGTGCGGATAGTGTACGCGCGTCGAGGAGATATACGGTCTAGGATTAAGCCGCGCATTCCTTGTTTGAGAGCTTCTCCCGGTTAATTGGCAGGATATCGTTATAATTGGGTCGTCGCGTTAGTGCCTTTTTGTGTTTTGGTTGCAAAGTTAAATTAATTTGCGTGTCAACGAGGCGTATTTTGAATCTTGTGCGACGTGTTATTCTGTGTCGAATTTATAATTTGTGATAAGTGAATCCGGGACGTTGAATGTTGAACTTTGAACTACTGTCCGTTGCCGTGTCGGGTATCACGTGTTCGATTCTGCGGTGAGTGTGGAATTAGGCGAATTGAAGTTAGTTAAATGTACAATGAAGCTAAGAGACTGAATCAGTGACAGTGAAGAAAGAAGTGGTCCAGCGCTGAAGCAGTCTGGAGCGATGCAGCATTTTGGAGCAGCCTGGAACTCGGTCGCTGCTGATCGCCTATGCTTGCCAAGGCCCCACACATTCACACATCACTGTACACGACTCGCTATCTACCATTACACACACTCACAGCCTGCCCAAGCCTTGGAGCGAAGTTGGCTCCTGATACAGGTAGATACCTTTGCTTTCTAGTTTGCTCCCATATAGTTTATTATGATAGGAAAGTGGTAGCAGAGCGTGGTTCCGGGTTCGATTCCCGGTCGAGCCCGGTGACAGGGAGCGTTGGTTTGATTGGTTTAATTTGTGTCTACAATCACATCCGGCCGTAATACGTAAAAATAAAATTCTTTTCTTTTGTTGCTTTGTTGCTTGCTTGTTTTGTTGTTGGTAGGTAGTTGCGAATGCCACGCCCGTAGGTTGCGCAAGCGGGAGTTTGCTAGAGAGATGCGTTGGGTAGGTAGATGGTTATTATCACGTAATCGGATAATTATCGTTGTCGTATAATTATGGTTGATTACTTATCAAAGAGTAGGTTGTCTGAGCGAGGCATTTTTTGTAGATCGAACGGGATGTGTAGATACACATCCCGTGTAGATACACATAAAGATTTATTGTATTGTGGTTCGTATTTAATCTAATAAATGGTAATTTGTATTTGTGCAATTGTATTTAACTTGATTTGATAGGAACGGTATTTTGTTACTCATTATATTTTTTGTATTTGTTAGTTGTTAAGTTGTAATTTGAATTTGAGCCGCGTAGTAATTTGTATTTAGAAGTAATGCCATCGCGCGGCTAGGGCTATCGCCATGCCGTTTTGTGTCTGGGTGCGAACGGCGTTTCCTCTCAGGGCTCTCCGGGCCCTCGACTCCCACGGGCGGGGGAGCTCGGCCGCGCCCCCTGTCGGGGGTTGTTGCCCCAGGGACGGGGGGTCGTCACCCCCTCCCTCAGTATGTTGAGACTTCACTGCCACTCAGCGGTCAGCTAGACCCTTCTCGCCCTCGTCAGCTGAGTGGCCGCGGCTCGAGGTACTACCGTTCCCCCTTTGATGTAGGCGGCCCAGCTAGGTAGCTGCCGCCCTAGCTCCTACCACGGCCGCCTCCACTAATTCTGTGAGCCGTCAACAGCTCACATGTCAATCTGTTCTATTGTTGACGGCCTCAGAGAGGGTGTACCACCCGAGCGTCGATTGTTTAACGGTACGCGCTTTATTTGTTCCGGGTTCACACCCGGGTTAGCTTCTGCTTAGTTGTTGGGAAGACTAGAGCTCCATGGGAGCGTTGAATTGCGCTGTTAGGGATTGTTAGATTTGGTTTTGGTCGAGCACTTAATTAACGATGCTTTGAATAAAAATTAAAAATGGTTTGTGCCTTCCGCGAAATGTTTCATATTATGGCGGTTGTGATTAAAAGGGGTGAATTTAATATACTCCTTGAATACGTGTACATATGTTTTTGTAAATGTATTTAATCACTGTGTTTGTTTTGTTGCACGGAAAACTAAAATTGAATTGTGTGCCTTTTAAATGCTTGTGCATATGTTTGTAATTGTAGTTGATTACAGTGTTTGTTTGTTGTGCGAGAAACTGGAATTGAATTATGTGCCCTTTTGAATACTTGTGCCTATGTTTTGTAATTGTATTTGATTATTGCGTCTGTTTTGCCGAAAGGAAAATTTGAATTCATTTGAACTTGAATGACGCGCTATTTGGAAAATTGTATATATGTTTTGTGGATGTGTTTATCATGGTGTTTTGTTGAAGAGAAAGCTGAGATTGGATAACCCTCTTTGTGCCGAAAGGAATAAAGAGACATTCCTCCTTTGGTTTTCGCATTTGCAGGCACTGTCTAAGATATTTATTTGAAATGAGAAATAGGGCTGTCTCTTATGTTTGTTGTTTTGTTTAATTTGTCAATTGTCCTATGTGCATCATTTATTAATTTGTTTGAATTAATTCTGTAGTTGAACATTGATGCTTTTGAAAATTAGCTGAAATATAAGCATAGGACTACTTGTCTCAAAAGCTAGCTAGTTTGGAGATTATCAGATTGAAATCAGCTGCCGTACTATTTGAGTAATTGATTATATGGTGGATGGCTTAGTTATGCCTACTTGTTGAAAATTCATACTAGGGACTATCTGTGCGCTTCGTTCGGCTCTCCATAGACGACCTTCATGTGGAATTTCTGGGTGCTCTCTGCACTGAAGCTTAGGAGGCCACACTGGGCCGCTTCGTGTCGCGTCGCTGTTTGCAGACCGGATCCGGTCGGATTGCGGAACTAATCATAGGAGCACAGATAGGTGTTTGAAATAGGTCGTCGGATTTCTGACCAGTACAGGACTTATTAAGGTGCTGCGATGCCCAGGAGTGGCATCCAGTGGAGGTTGACCCTCCGGCTTGCCCACATTGGGGCTGTCTTTTGAGGCGGTGGCTAGGGTTGCAAGATTTGATGAGGTTCCTACGGTGGCCTAGGCGGTTGTAGATTTGGTCTTGCAACGTGCCGTCGCGACCCTGTACCGCTCGTCGGTTTGCTCTCGGACATAAGTCCTTATGTCCGGGACGGGGGTTTGTTTGGGCCAAAAATGGTCATGTTAGGACGGCACCCAACCACGTTCGACTTTGCCAATCGCCCGATCGTACCAGGTGTCACGCGTGTGTCGGGGAGGGGGCAGCGGAAGGGAGCTTCCCAGCGTCTTGGCGGTCGGGCGAGACAGTAGGTGACAGTAGTAGCTTGCTAGCAGCGACCCGGTTAAGCCGAGTGTTTCGGCTATCGCTGCGGAAGGTCGCGCGAGACCGGTTTTGCTTGATTAGGGTCTAGAATTTGGATTTGGGTGCGTGGTCTTTGCTACGTAATTGGGTTTCGTGAAATCCGCCTCGGATTTGGTGTTCTAGGATTTAGCTAGATGAAGTGCGTGTTTCTTCGTCACGTCACGTCACGATATATGAATTGTGCGATAGTTAACTCGTGCGAGAGTGCGGATAGTGTACGCGCGCCGAGAAGATATACGGTCTAGGATTAAGCCGCGCATTCCTTGTTTGAGAGCTTCTCCCGGTTAATTGGCAGGATATCGTTATAATTGGGTCGTCGCATTAGTGCCTTTTTGTGTTTTGGTTGCAAAGTTAAATTAATTTGCGTGTCAACGAGGCGTATTTTGAATCTTGTGCGACGTGTTATTCTGTGTCGAATTTATAATTTGTGATAAGTGAATCCGGGACGTTGAATGTTGAACTTTGAACTACTGTCCGTTGCCGTGTCGGGTATCACGTGTTCGATTCTGCGGTGAGTGTGGAATTAGGCGAATTGAAGTTAGTTAAATGTACAATGAAGCTAAGAGACTAAATCAGTGACAGTGAAGAAAGAAGTGGTCCAGCGCTGAAGCAGTCTGGAGCGATGCAGCATTTTGGAGCAGCCTGGAACTCAGTCGCTGCTGGTCGCCTATGCTTGCCAAGGCCCTACACATTCACACATCACTGTACACGACTCGCTATCTACCATTACACACACTCACGGCCTGCCCAAGGCTTGGAGCAAAGTTGGCTACTTATACAAGTAAGTATCTTTGCTTTCTAGTTTGCTCCCATATAGTTTATTGTGATAGGAAATTCCACGTGGCCATATTGAGGCCCGACCTGCGACTGCCCGTCGAAGAAACTGCTATAGGCCCCAGCCAAGACGACCTTTGGCAGCTGTAGGCCATTACAGACGGGTCCGTGGCGCAGTGGCGTAACAATGAGTTGCGGTGCTGAAACTCGCGGGTTCGAATCCCTTATGAAACAAGTAATAGTTCTACAAATAATGGTGTCGACCCTGAATGTTTTTCCTTTTGTGTTTAATTTATAAACTGCTCCTTCAGGGATAATCATGGAGTGGGCACAAGTATTTTCTTTAAGTGATAAAAAGAAACAAGAAAGATGTGTACGTGAGTGCGTAAATCTAGAAGTTGAGCATGGTTTCGGCATCACTATAAATGTACGTGATTTTCTGCTTATACCTTTTGTTCGGTTTAAGTGTGAGCTATCACTAAATGACAACTGAAAGTTAATGTATTTTAAAATATTTTTCAGTGGTGCTCAATGTAAATCTCATAGCGATAACCCTTATATTACTATACGGAGTAGTAATCCACAGTGGAATGAAATGGCCAAATCCGGAAGATGATCCCCTTGTATTTGTTGCGAACCCTGTGGAAGCGAATATGCCCGGCCACTGGATACCGGCGAGCGTGGTGAAGGCGATACTTAGCGGTATTCAGACAACGCAAAAAATCAAACAATTTAAAGAAAGGCATATGACCACACCACCGTCTACAACCACTAGTCCTACAACGACAACAACCACTTCTGTACCACCCACTACCGCTAAGACACCCACTACCACACCAACCACCCTTACAACAGCCACTCCAATGTCTACAACTACACCTACACCTACAACCACGACAACTACACGCACAACCACGACAACCACTCCCACAACCATAACAACTACGCCTACAAACACGCCAACAACGCCTACAACCACGACCAATTCGACTAGCATGTCTGGGGTACCCAAAAGCCCCAAAAAACCAAAGAAAGCGAGGAGTAATAAAATGAACAACCATTCGCTTTAATCGTTTTTATCCCCTTTTGTGTATTTATTCAATTAACTTCACTGTGTTTATTAAAAATAATAATCTATAAACATTGTTTTAGCATTAAAAAAAATAATTATAGAATTATTCGTTATATTATTACATAATAATAAGTATTTCCTCACGAATTAAAACGTTCAATGATTCACCCTATTCATAAGAGCGGAAATAGAGTCTGTGTCGATAATTATCGGCCCATTTCTATACTGCCAGTATTTTCGAATATCTTGGAAAAAGTAGTAAATAATAGACTAGTCAGGTATCTTGAATCAAAAAATCTCTTACCACATGCGCAATTTGGTTTTACAAATGGCAAAGCTACAAGTGATGCAGTACAAGAATTCTTAAGTTATACCGTTAAACATATGGACGACAAGAAAAAACTAATAACAGTATTTCTTGATTTGGCTAGGGCATTTGACACGGTCTCTATTCCACTGTTAATTAACAAATTGTACAAGATGTCAGAGGTGTCAGAGGATTACAATTGAATTTTTTTCAGTTATCTCACTAACCGATCGCTAAGTGTCAAAATTGGAAATTGGATAAATGATGATCTTCCCGTCTCCCATGGCGTACCACAAGGTAGTATTTTGGGTCCTACCTTTTTTTTTGACCTATATAAACAACATGTTCTAGACAAGATTGATAAATGGGACGCTTATTTCTTATGCCGATGATACTGCCCTTTTTTTATTTATTTGTTTATTTATTTACTTTATTGGAAACAAAACAGTAACAAAAGATATGAAAGAAAAATATTCCAGTAAAATAAGACAATGGTAATTACAATTGTTTCCTACAAACTGTCTCACTAAGAACATACACAATATTTATATTATGAAGCAGGTCTTAATTGGTATTGTCTGCACAACAAACAGGTTACAAATCTGTACTTAAATAAAAAGAAAACAATCATCTAAAAACAATCATCTAAAATGTATGTGTTTCAAATAATTATGAATTAAATTATTAAACATATAAGTGTAAGTTATATATTTTATTTTATTCATTAGTACTGGAGGTAAAAATGTTACTACTTTTTGGATTTCACGTTAGATGGCACTGTTTTGATAAAGTGAAATTTAGATTGTCGGCGTAGTTAATATTATAACGCAACGGTTAAAACTCATTTTAGGCTTTATTTATAAATATGTTATTTATTTAAAAAAAATCAATAATCAATAATATAAAACAGAAATGAACATCTTGAGGAAGGAAAATACTTAACCCTCTTTTTTTTTGATGATCCGTAATCGGATAAAATGTAGCTTATAAGTTGCCCCGGGTCGGGTATAACTATCTACACACAAAATTTCATGGAAATCTGTCCAGTAGTTTTTGCATGAAACGGTAATATACAAACAGACAGACAGACAAAAATTCTAAAAACCACAAATTTGGCTTCAGTGCTCTTTATTAAGTCCCCTGGAATAGTTTTTTCCAGAAAACATTAGAATTATAGACACGACTTTTCTACAGATTTATTATAATTATGTCTATACATAGTAGACATAATTATAATAAATATAATATATAATAGTAGTTGTTCGATTAGACTTGCTTGGCGGCAATCGCCGCAGTTTTTTAAGGCGACACATCGAAAACAATTGAAGCGGGCTATCGCCGGACTGACCCGAGTAAACATAATTTCTATAAAAACTTCAAAAACGCCTTCATAAGGTTTAAAATTGCGTAGCGCCCGCGACGATTAAGGACGCTTAGAAATCGCTTAGAATCTTAAAATATTTTTAAAAATTATTGAATTTATTAATCAAAATAATTAGCAAGTAAATTACGAATATTGATGTTATGAATGTATTTGAGTGGTTTCCAAGCATATAGATTAAGTAATTTCGTTGTAATTTCAACTATAGTGATTTTTACAGGCGTTTTCACAAATAATTATGATATAAATATGTGTTTTTGAACAAGCAAATTCCAGATAAATACATGAATTTGCCTATATCAAAATTCCAGTTTCCTTGGTCGTCTTATACTCCTATACTATTCGATGAAAGGAGGTGCATTTTTTCGCGATGTCGCCTTAAGTACAAAAAGTGCTTTTGATGTCGGGAATTGATTAAGCAAATATTTTGAAAGTTGTTGAAAAAAAACTTAAAAACAATGGTTTTTTTTATAGTTTTTACTTTTGAAAAATTTGTAACGGCTAGACCGATTGACTTAAAAATCTAATCAGCTCGAAGTCACAATGAAAACTTTCGAACGCCATGTCGCCTATCTCGATCGGTTGATTCGTGTTGTGTATCGCCAGCAACACAAAGTCAGTTATTTGCATTTAGAAAAACCCAAAATTAGGGGTGCTTTAGGTGCTAATAAGGTGCCAAGTTTAAAAATTAGGTGCTCTAAACGTTTCATCACAGCGAACTTTTAAAATTTGCGTTGCTAACAAAACGTATCGCTAGCAACGCAATAAAGTTATACATATACGATAAATATTAATAGCAGGGAATTAAGTGCTAGTTAGGTGCTGAGTCAACATGCCAACATGAGAACATGCCTTTAGTGGTTATTTTTGGAATAACCGTATGGAAAATTACCATAACAAAATTAACCAGACCTGTAACGAGGAGCAAAAACTAAGAGCAGTGAGATCTTGAACTATGATCGCCTATTTATCTGTCAAGTGAAAGTTAATTATTTGACGTGATTAATTCTGAGCAAAATTATGATAAATATTAAAGGATGCTAATAAAACGTTAGTGCGTATTTGAAATAGGAGAACGACTGTCAGTGTTTCTCTTTATAAAAAAACAATAACACTCAAAAGTGTGCTGTCACACGGGAATTACGAACATAAATACCTAAAAGCATTGTTTGTTTAGCGGCAACATTTTTCACCACATCGCGTTCTCTGATCCTCGATAAGAGACATGTTGAGTCGGGCACCGGTTTTATTGAGTCCATGAGACTAGCGAGTATCTTTAATAACACGGTTTTATTAGCTTGATTTTATATGTTGTATGTACATACAAAATCAAGCTAATAAAGTTTGTAATGAAATATTCGAATTACGTTTTTAACCAATTTAAAAATCTGAATAACCTTGAATACCGAAATTAAATTTTGTAGACATATTTACATTCAGTAATAACTACGACCATCAGAGTTCATGATTATTACTTAAATTAATAATAGTTAATATTGCTTTGCTGTTTACAAACGCATTTACATATATTTCTGTGATCAAAATTTAAATAAAAATAGTGCACTGTTAGTAGACCGCTCATTATCCACGTCTAGTTTACTGGGGACTACTCATATCTTGCTGTCAGCCATTAGTTAATTACACATTCATGCCACATACGTAGTTAATTTTACCGAAAACCGAAAGTTGGAGTTGAGACGATGTTGGTCGATGGTGGTCAATGTAATCATTCAAGTAGGTAAATGTTCGGCGACAGGTAGACAAAACAAAAAATAAAATTAATTTTGGTAGTATGTTATTCCCTTTAAAAATATTATTATGTAAATACATGATCTTGAATAATTTCTTTTACCGATACAGAAGGAATCAAAAGTACGATACAAAATCATTTTCATAGATATTACATTTTCACACTTTATATAGATCATGGCTACAGATGCGATGTTTTTATTTATTGCGCGAGCAGCTATGAAAGTCTTGAGAGAGAGACCGGTATCACTGTGACATAAAAGATATATCGTGATCGCTGCTATGTCTATAGTTCACTGCTAAGCCCTACGTCCTCAATTAATAGGAGTTTTTTTTTTTATAGGAGAGGGGGCAAACGTGCATGCGGCTCACCTGATGGTAAGTGACTACCGCCGCCCATGAAAACCGCAACACCAGGGGAATTGCAGATGCGTTGCCGGCCTTTTAAAAAGGAGTAGGCTCTTTTCTTGAAGGTCCCTAAGTCGTATCAGTCCGAAAAAATCACTGGTGGTAAACTATTCCACAAGGAAGTTGTGCGAGGAAGAAAACATCTTCTAAATCACACAGTGGTGGACCGCCAATCATCCAGATGGTGTGGATGGTATTGGGAGATCTGCCGCGATGTGCGTTCTTGAAATTTGGCGGCTGGGATTAATCCGAACAATTCCTCAGAGCACTCCCCATGGTAAATGCGAAAGAAAATGCAAAGAGATGCAACATCTCTTCGCAGTGCCAATGAGTCGAGCCAATCGGAAAGGACTCGGTCGTCGACGATTCGAGCCGCTCTGCGCTGGATGCGGTCAAGTGGAAAGAGCTGGCACTGGGGAGCCCCAGCCCAGAGATGGGAACAGTATTCCATGTGAGGCCGAACCTGCGCCTTGTAAAGTTGCAGGCGTTGAGCTGGCATGAAATACTGTCTCGCTCTGCTGAGCACGCCAAGCTTTTTAGAGGCCAATTTGGCCTTCTCTTCCAAGTGACCACGAAACTGCACGTTACTCGATATGTCGACGCCGAGGATTCCGATACTGGCTGAGGCAACAAGGGGAGTACCTTGAAACTGAGGAGATACGACAAAGGGGTTCTTCTTAGCGGTAAACGCGCAAACTTGTTTCTTCTGAGGATTAAACTGAACTAGATTTAGTCGCCCCCAATCCGAGACTTTGTCCAGCAAAGACTCGACTTCAGACACAAGTTTGTTCCGGGGAGAACTATTGGCACGGCCGGTGTATAGAGCATCACCAGTGCTGTCATACGCATAACAATGAATGCTACCGGCTTGTAACATATCATTGATATGCAGAAGAAACAGCGTTGGTGATAGCACGCAGCCTTGTGGAACACCAGTGTTAATAGACTTGTAGTCGGAGCATGCACTGTCTACAACGACCTTGATGCTTCGATCTGCAAGAAAGCTGGTGATCCAATTGCATAATTTCTCGGGAAGCCCATAGGAAGGGAGCTTCGTACCGCATGAGGTGGCAGTTTATA